ACACTATCTATCCATTGGTAAAAGAGTAGCCCCAAGAGTTGGCGGTGGATGGGTGATGACTAGCTGCCTTCCCTCTAGTCTTATACTGCTAAATTAGAGACGGCTAGCGCAGATAGCCCTCGTGCAGCTTTGCGCGAAATTCAAAACAAACCAAACCAAAGACTATTTCTTAGCGTTTGAAGTTGAGTCTATTTGTTCATGTATTTTTTAATGATGAAGCTCCCGAGGCTAATGCCGCTAGTTGAGTCTATTTGTTCATGTATTTTTTAATGATGAAGCTCCCGAGGCTATTGCTGCTAGTTGAGTCTATTTGTTCACGTATTTTTTAATGATGAAGCTCCCGAGGCTATTGCCGCTAGTTGAGTCTATTTGTTCGTGTATTTTTTAATGGTGAAGCTCCCGAGGCTATTGCCGCTAGTTGAGTATATTTGTTCATGTATTTTTTAATGGTGAAGCTCCCGAGGCTATTGTCGCTGCCCCAAATTTTGAACTTCCGACCACAGGCATCCCTCCGCCAACTCTTGATCTACTCATTACCAAAGAATAGTGGGATTGACCGTCACCATATAACGCCACCACTGCTGAAAGGACGATTACGTTCGGTGCCGAGTTCCTATCCCGCAATCAATAGCTTGCTAGTCGAGTGTCCTAACCATCAGGCCTTTTTTTTTTAATTACTCGGAACATTTATTGTCTAACTACTAATATGTACAGTTAGTCTGTCCACTTTTTTTAGCCCCCCCCCCCACGTAGCACAGCGGTATGTCTGCGGACTTACAACACTAGAATCCAGGTTTCGATACCCGTGGTGGGCAGAGCCCTGATAGCCCATTGTGTAGCTTTGTGCTTAATTACAAACAAACAATTTTTTATAATCACGAGTTTTCCGGATTTTTGAAGTAAGACGAATCACTTAAAAAGGTATTTAAAAACCATCCAACATTTCACTCGTTTTCGAAAAGCGACCTCTTTGCTTATCGGGAGCAAGAAAAGGAAAAAAAATGTATAAATTACTCTCCTCCGTGATTTTTACCCCTTTTATAATATTTTTTTCATGGATATAAATTTGTGAAAAGTGATATTTGTAAAACTTTCCTGACGATTACTATAGATCACACTACGCTAGTCGCCACAGATGATCAAGTTTCAGAATCTCCATGTTCACTCTCACCCCCACCTGGTTTTATGTCTGGGATTTATGCCAACTTTCTCCAACCAGAAAGGATATCTTCGCCTTCACAGAGCTGCTCTCCATTATCTGAAATTAATTTTTACGAAGTTCCATCACCGCCCAAGGCTGTGGGTGAGAGGTGGTCAGTGTAAGTTTTATTTACACATCTTTTTATAAAATAAGTAAATATTTTTCCAAAATAATTAATACAGTTATATATATATATATATATAATCGTCAAGGTTATTTCTCATTCAAAAAAGCAATCCACAGTTCCTTTTTATGTGAGTTGAAAAAATTTCGATTTTAAAGCCACCTTTTAAAAGAGTTTCCACAATTAAGAACTTTCAAAGTGCATTCAGGTTTCACGATTCTTATGACTTCTTATTAGTCAGTTACAACTGTCTTAGTTACCTTATTGCTCTTCGTGTGATATCGTGACTTAGATATTACTTTTAGACTGCATTTGGTGCCTTCTTTGAGCGAACGGTAAGTTTACGAACTTATAACACTGAAATCCGGGGTTCGATTCTCCGCGGTGGACACAGCAGATGGTCCAATGTGGCTTTGCTCCAAAACTTACTTGGGCGAATGACTAAGTTAGAGATAAGTAAACTGCATTGAATAATTTTAAACAAAACGTTAATTTATTATTATTATAGAGTTTATTTTATAAGCTGTAATGTGCGTATCGTATTGTAATGTATTGTAGCAAACGGAAAAACCGTTCTTAATTTTGAAACATTGAGTACACTGATAATAGGGATTTTCCTCGCCTGTAAAAATTTCCAGTAAGTTTTTTATGAGCTGTTTCCTCAAACCAATAACTTTGATTTTTTTATGCCCTAGGTTATACATTTTTCCTTACTTTTACATAACGTATTATTTTTGTTTCGTCAAAATAATTTTTAATATTCCTATCGTAGCACTAGTGACCAGAATCTAACACCACCATTTTCTAAGTCCTATGATTCGGATTTGTACCACACGCCCCCTAGCAGTGGCAGAAGTGACCAGAATCTAACACCACCATTTTCTAAGTCCCATGATTCGGATTTGTACCACATGCCCCCTAGTAGTGGCAGAAGTGACCAGAATCTAACACCACCATTTTCTAAATCCCATGATTCGGATTTGTACAACACGCCCCCTAGTAGCGGCAGAAGCTCGTCGTCACCCTACGAAACACCACCACCACACAGAGAAATAGATACTTTTTCAAAAAGTACTACTCACCAGTCAACTCCGGAACCTGGTGAATCTCCAGTTCAACCGACAAGATTCTTTCCATCGTCTAATTCCGAACCGGTTTGGTACGAGATTCCGTCACCAGGGAATAAATATTGTGATCCAACCAAAAATAATTCTTCTACGTGCCAGGAGTCCAAACTAGGAGATGAAGGTATATATTTTAATACTGGAATATAATATTAAATTTCAATATTATTTATTAAATTGAAATATTTTAAAGTTAGTTTGGCCGTAGTATGTAAATATCGATTGTTGAAAAGCTAAAATCCGGGGTTTGATTGTTCGTGGTAGACAGAGTGTAGATAGTAAATTATTTAGCCTCGCGCTAAAACAAACAAAATTGTTCATTTAAGGGCCCGGCATGGCCAGGTGGATAAGGCGCTCGACTCACAATC